CTCCTTGATTGCTCCAGGAAGTCTCGGGGTAATACCACACGGATGGTGGTTGATACCCCCAATGGTTGGAGAAGCCATGAGGATCCATGTTTCAGAGCTGCACCAACAAAAACATAACACCCAAGTGAAAAGCAAGGGTGGAAAAGAAAAAAAAATGCAATAAATAAAAAGCTAGAGTAACAAATTCTCACGTTTCCCCAATAACCTAGAGGGTCCCCGGCAACGGCGCCAAAAACTTGACACGCTAAAACACAACACCTAACAATGGCCAAGTGTAACCAATGAAAGGGACTGCAGTAACAGGCAAGTTTAATTATCAACCCGGGGTCTAGATCTACTGCTTACTCCGTGATTCTCTATTATCTAGCAAACTAGTTCGAATGATTGTTGTGAAAAGTAAAAGCAACAAGAAAGCAGTAAATTGTTCGGGTTTCTAAAGCAGGCAAGAGTCACTCGGGATTGAGTCCCCCTAGCCCCTTAGTTAGGTTCAATTGCAATTCCCTGGGTTGATTTACTGTTGATTAGACTGCGGAAGATCCGACAGTAGCTTGGAATCTCTTAAGCTGACCAAGCCCTCTCAGTCTAACTACCCGGCAGACGACTAGTCTTCACCGGGATAGAAAGCTGAGGCTATGAACACAGAACTCCACTACTGGCGCCAAGAACACCAGTACAAAGCAATAAACTGGCTAACTCTCGTATAGCCAATCTCCTACTATCGAATGAAGAGGCTCTAACACCCTAATCAGATTCTATCTATCTCAGGTTGCAGCAGAAATTGAGAAAAGCTGATCAGACTCAAATCAATTCATTAAACATGCGTCATTCGATTAAAATCAAATAGTAATATCATCCCAAGTCATTACAATCAAATCCCTAACACAAGGAACTAGGGTTCTTCATACCCAAGTGAGAGAAGGGTTCTACTCCATAGAGAGAGAAGAGAAAACAAGAATCGGATTAGTCATACTCATAACGATGAGGATAATCTGCTCCAGGACGATGATTTCCACTCCTATGACGATCTCCAAGCTCGATTCGATGAAATCCAGCTCTAAGACAGCTTCTAGGGTGTGTTCTTCGCACTTTCTCTCTCTAGGGCTCTGTTTTTGCTCTCAAAACACGATTCTCCCACTTCTGGCTCGGAATAGGCTCTAAAACAGGGTTTCCCGACTTGCACGGCCAGGGTGCACGGCCGTGCACATCACCATTCTGGCCGTGCAACTCAAAACGCGCCGTATCATTAAGTCGAACCTCAGCCAACTCGCACGGCCAGGATTGCACCTTGCACGGCCGTGCGGATTTCACTTGTGCCCGTGCGTGCCCACGCACAATCCCGCACGGCCAAACTGGTCACTTGCACGGCCGTGCGTGCCCACGCACAATCCCGCACGGCCAAACTGGTCACTTGCACGGCCGTGCGGGTTGTGGATGTGCCCGTGCGACTTCCTCAGAACCTCGCCATGCGTCCGATCCTTGTCCAATCGACCTCAAACTCGCTCCCAAGCCTCCATTCACGTACTAGGACCTGAAATATCATAAACAAGCACAACCTAGCGTGAAATCGGCCTAAAACACGAGAATCAATACCTCAAACGGAGTAAGAGCAGGGGTAAAAACATGTGTAAATAACGGTCTATCATAAGGGCTATGCAGCCGCCTGATTGGGACAAAATTCGACGAATAGAGAAGGAGTTGTCTGCAGCCTGGAAGGAAGAGGAATTGTTTTGGAAACAAAAGTCCCGTGTTAAGTGGTTGAAAGAAGGCGATAAAAACACGGCATATTTTCATATAGTTACCAAGGGACGTATGAAACGAATGTTTATAGCTGGTTTGAAAAGGGATGATGGCGTATGGATTACAAAAGAAGAGGAAAAGGGGGAAATTGCTGTAGAGTATTTCAAAAAGATGTTCACTTCTGAATGTGATCCAGTTCGGGTGGCAAGTGCCACCGCTAACCTCCCAATACCAGTAAAGGTTTCGTCCAGGATGAATGAAGAGTTGGTAGCTCCAGTACTGGAAGTGGAAATAAAAAAGGCATCTTTTTCTCTGGGTGCAATGCAAGCTCCAGGGGCTGACGGGTTTACAGGAGTCTTTTTCAAGAGTTTCTGGTCCATTGTTGGTAGAGATGTCTGTATGGCGGTTGGGAAGTTTTTCAGTTCAGGGATGTCAATTGCCAATGTCAACCACACATGGATCACATTGCTGCCGAAGGTTGAATCAGTGGAGAATATGCGCCAACTTCGCCCCATAAGCTTGTGTCAGTTCATATATAAAATTATTGCAAAGGTAATGGCGGAAAGGCTGGCTAGGATTCTTCCTGACATAATATCGCCGGGACAAAATGTCTTTATTAGGGATAGGCAGATTGTTGAAAATGTGTTGGTGGGGCACGAGGTAATGCATTGTCTTAACCGGAAAAGGAAGGGTAAAAAAGGCTTGATGGCACTGAAGTTGGACATGGAGAAAGCTTATGACCGAGTTGAATGGTAATTTTTGTTTGCTATCATGGCCAAGTTGGGATTCTGTCCTAAGTGGATTAACTGGATACGTGATTGTATTTCGTCCGCCAGCTTCTCTATCCTGATGAATGGTAAACCGACAGGATATATTCGTCCGTCTCGTGGAATTAGGCAGGGGGATCCCCTCTCGCCACTCCTTTTTGTTCTCTGTACGGAAGGTTTCTCGGCCTTATTAAAGAGGGAACTAGAGGCGGGCAGATTACATGGAATTAAGGTGGGTCGGCATTGCCCGGTATTAGAGGAATATGAAAAGATGAGTGGACAGAAGATCAATCTATCTAAATCTGCTGTATGCTTCAGCAGAAATGTAGATGATGATCAAGCGGCTGAGCTTGTGCAATTACTTGGAGTGGGAGCGATAGGTGTGAAAGACCAGTACCTAGGACTGCCGTCCGTTATCCGAAAATCGAAGGTGGAGACTTTTCGTTACTTGGAAGAAAGGTTACTGAAACGTTTGAGTGGTTGGAAGAGTCGATGTTTATCGATGGCAGCAAAGGAGACGTTGATAAAAGCAGTGGTCTCAGCTCTCCCGGTACATGTCATGTCGTGTTTTAGATTGCCTAGTGGCTTATGCTATGCTATTAATCGTCATGTTGCTCGGTTCTGGTGGGGAGCAAAGGAAGTAGAGACCAGAATTCATTGGGTTGCGTGGCGGTCCCTATGTCGCAGCAAAACTGAGGGGGGGATGGGTTTTCGAGACTTTGAATCCTTCAACCAGGCGTTGCTTGCTAAGATAGGATGGAGGATTTTGCAGGATCCAAACTCACTTCTTGCAAGGATATATAAGGGCCGGTATTTCAATTCAGGTACATTCTTGACAGCCAAGCTTGGATCTAGCCCGTCATGGGGGTGGAGAAGTGTTATGTTTGGTCGGGAACTGCTTGCTAGTGGCCTGAAATGGCAGATTGGATCGGGGGAGAGGGTACAAGTAAGGGAGGCTAATTGGATCCCGGGCTTAGATCGGGTTACTGCTGGGGAGATAGTGAGTTCTATACAAGGGAATGCGAATGACCTTTATGTGGCTGATTTAATAATTCCAGGGCGAGGGGTATGGGACATTGGTCGGATCCAACAACTCTTCCCTACACATGTCGTCCCCATGATTTTGGCCATTCCGCTTCCATGCTGCCCTGTCCCGGATAAGCTTGTTTGGAGGCATTCTCCATGTGGTAAGTACACTGTTCGTACAGGTTATTTTCAAGCTTATGAGATGAAATGTATACAACCGAACAGGAAACATATCATATCTTTGTGGGATGCTAACCTGTGGAAACGAGTGTGGGAGATGAACTGCCCGCCAAAGCTCAAAATTTTTCTGTGGCAGATGGTTCGGGGGATTCTGCCGGTTGGAGAAACATTGCGAGATCGGGGCGTGAGCACTAGTGCATGGTGTTGGGGGTGCTTGGGAGCTACGGAGAGCTTAGCTAACCTTTTCTTTGAATGCCCAGTACCAAAGAGATTTTGGGATATGATTCGGTTGGGTAATGTGATTGATGAATTCTTCTCTAGGAATGTTTGCATTTTTTGGCGCAGACTGTTGGAAGCAAAACAGATTCCTGTAGAGCGAAAACTGGAGGTTTTGTGTGCATGTTGGAGGCTGTGGAAGTCTCGAAACACTGTTTGGTTTGAAGGCCATCAGGTCTGTTTGCAGGTACTTGGTAGGCAATGGCAGCATCAGGTGGGAGAGATTCAACAGTGTAACCAGCATGTGGAGGAAGAGAGTAAACAGCCGCGCAGCAGGATAGTTGCCACAGGTGAGCGACGTCAAGGGGGAATCCCTCTGGCCTGTTTTGATGGCGCTACAAGAGAACAGTCTCATGGAGCAACAGGGGTGGTAATATTTGATGGACAAGGAGCTGTAATGGCAGCTGGAGGAAGATGCATTCCAGGTATGTTTGAGCCTTATCTTATTGAACTGATTGCTTTACGAGACCTATTGATATGGTGTCAGGGGATGGGAGTGCTGAACGTTGATATCCAAGGGGATGCTCAAGGCATCATAATGAAGGTGAGAGCAGGGGAAATTTGGGACGTGAATGGCGGTGCAATATTCCAAAAGATTAGTCAGTTGTTGACGGACATGCCGCAGTGCAATGTGATGTTTGTGCGACGAAATTTGAATGGAGCTGCTCATAGTGTGGCAAGAAAAGCTCTATCTTTATACCCGGTTGGGTTTTCTTCTTTTGATTTCAGTAGGTGGGTCACTGAGACCTGTATGTGAACCTCCTAGATTATCGTTGGTTGCTCGTGTATTCGAGTTTCTATTGGCAAAAAAAAAACAAATTATTTTGTCAAATGATTTTTCATCTCATATAAATCGGCTTCCATCAATGAGATTGAGAGTGGTGGCATTGCATTCTCCTAAAACTTATCAGAGTCTTAAATCTTAATTACAGATTACCTCTTGTCATTTGCAATGACTTAAGTGCTCTCGCATGATTTTTTTTTGTGAAAACGGGTGCAAAGCACCACTACCTCTTATTCATAAATCGATCGAACGGTAAAACCGCCAACAGAGTCAAACAAGGTCCAATGACATACATCAGGGTCCGAAACAGGAACAGAGTGAAAACCCAGGGTCAGAGAGTGCCCCATGTGAGCAAGACAGTCGGCCAAAAAGTTGGCCTCCCTATAGATGTGATTAATACGCACAACCCAGTCCATGCGAAGCAAAGCCTGGAACGACAAGGTGAGGTTGGCATGCTGATGGTTATGCTGACCTGTGTCCTGGAGCAGCGCCATCGCCGTCCTGGAGTCCAGCTGGAGCTCCACTTGTCGATGCCCTGCTTCCCAAGCTAGCTCAAGACCCTTCAATGCCCCCCAAATCTCTGCACGGGTAATGGTACACTTCCCCAGGTTCATCATATAGGCCCCTAACAAACGACCCTGCCAGTCTCTAAGCGCTCCTCCTGCAGCGGTAGACCCTGAGGGCCGCAAGAGCGACCCGTCAGAGTTCACTGTGATCCACCCTGTCGGGGCCGGTCTCCACCCCACGGCCACATCTCGACACGACCCCGACCTCCCCAGTGAAAGAGTTTGATCCGCTTGCTTACTCTGCTGAACGACGACCTCCCAGGCAAGGATCTTTTGCGATAACTTGCTAGGGGTTTCTACGATGTCTGAGAAAATGAAACCATTCCGTGCACGCCAAAGGAACCAACACGTGAAACCGAAACGAACCTGGCTAAGGGGGCACTTGAGTGACTCTGTTAACCAATTCTTGACGTTGCGGCTGTCCTCAGGACGGAGTGCTGTAGGGAGCACCTCCGCCCACACCTCCTTAGCGAAAGGGCACTGACGGAGGACGTGGTCCATGGTCTCCGGGTCTCCTCTGCAACGTTGGCACACTGAGCTGGTGGCGATGTGGCGGCGGGCTCGCTCCGAATTTGTCAGCAGCCGACCGTGTACCGCAAGCCACAGGAAGTGGTGCACTCGACTCGGTCCTGGCCACCGCCAAATGGTTTTCCACGGACTGGCTTCCTCGCACTTGTTGATTTCCGCCACAAGGTTGTATGCGGACTTGAGGGAGAATTGACCTTCTAGCTCCAACCCCCACATTAGCTCGTCATCACCAAGGCTTTCACGAGGAACAGGCACGCCTTCCACCTTCAAAACAAATTCTCGGGGTAAGTACTGAGCAAAGCGGTCCAAATCCCACTCACCTTCCTGCGAAACCATATCCGCCACGCTCGCATCCCTTGGGAATTGATCGTCAATGTTGATGTCATGGTCCGCCAGGCAGTCCCCGCTGTCCAGCCAGCCTGCGTTCCAGAAGGAGGTTGACTTGCCGTCCCTAATGCTCCACCTTGCACCGCCATCCATCAAAGCCCACACCCGACGGATACCTCGCCAAAGGATTGAGCAACCAGTCTTCCTGCGAGCACTAATCTCCCCGTTGGGCCCTTCTTTTAGGTATTTTTCCGTGAGGATACGTACCCAGAGTTCATCGGGGTTCTTTAGAATAGTCCAGGCAAGTTTGATGAGGTAAGCTGTGTTGAGATCCCGAGCACTCCGCAAACCAAGACAACCCTGATCCTTTGGCCGACAGATGGTGTCCCAGTCGATCAAATGGATGCGGCGTCTCCCTTGTTGTGATCCCCATATAAACCCGCGGATACGTCTATCAATTTGATCAGAGATAGCTGCGGGAAGAACCGAAGTCTGCATCGCATAGGTCGGAATGGCGTTGAGGACCGAGAGGGCCAGAGTGACTCGGCCTGCGAGAGACAAGCTCTCCGCTTTCCAACCTGCTAAACGTTGGTCCACCTGGTCGAGCAAATACTGGTACCTCTGCTTCGTGACTCGACCATGGAGGACGGGAACCCCCAGATAGCGGCCCAGGTCCTGCATCATGCCGAAGCCCAGCCTGCTGCTGATGTCTCTACACATTTCCCGCTTCACGTTCTTGGAGAAGTAGACGCGTGATTTTTCCTTGCTCACCAGCTCTCCAGAGGCATCACAAAACTTGTCCAAGCAATCCATAATAACTTCCACCTGTTCCTGAGAGGCTTCTGCAAAAAGAACAAGATCATCAGCAAAAAACAGGTGAGTAAGTTGCGTACCACCTCGGATGAGTTGTATCGGTTTCCATATCCCGTTGCTCGCTGCCTCCTCGATAAGATGGCTCAGCCTCTCAATGCAGAGTGTGAAGATGTAGGGAGACAGGGGGCATCCTTGTCGGATCCCTCTAGTGGGCTTGAACTTCTCCGTAGAGGTTCCTTCCCAGAGGATCTCCATGGATGGGGTCGTCACACACTTCATTACTGCATTAACAAACTCCACCGGAAGCCCCGCACACTGCAAAGTATCCTCAACAAAGCTCCATCTTAAGCGGTCATAGGCTTTGGCAAGGTCGATTTTCAAAACAATCTGCCCCTTAACGCCTTTCCTCGAATGCATCGAGTGCACCACTTCCTGCAGAATGATGATGTTATCCTGGATATGTCTCCCAGGAACGAAGCTGGTCTGAGTAGGGGCTACAAGCTTGCTCATCAACGGTTTCAGGCGGTTCGCCAGGCATTTAGTGAAGGCTTTGTAAACCACATTGCACAGGCTGATGGGTCTAAAGTCAGACACTCTCTCCGGATGATCCTTCTTCGGAATGGGCACAATGAGAGTCTCATTGACAGTCTCAACCAACTCCGGATTCCTGAAACAGCCCGATAGATACATCGCCAGGCTCTGTCCCACCGTGTTCCAACATTTTTGGAGGAAGAGCGGCTGATACCCGTCCTTCCCCGGGGCCTTGAAAGCTCCCATCGACTTAAGCGCCGACACTGCCTCACTCGAATGAATCTCCTGCGCCAAATTCGCGTAGTCCTCGTCGCTGCACTGCGGGAAATGGCCTGCTAAGGTTGACAAGTCCTCCCCTGGGTCCGTATAAAGATCCTTAAAGAACTCCTGGATCAGGCTTTGTAACTGTGCGGGTCTTCAATCCAATCATTGCCCACTGATCTCAGCCTCCGGATGCGGTTGCGGCAGCGACGCTTAAGCGTGGAGAGGTGGAAAAATTTAGTGTTCCGGTCCCCGTCAATGAACCACACCGCCCTTGACTTTTGGTACCAAAGCAACTCTTCATGCTTCAACACTTCGGTCAGCTCGTTGCGGACATTAAGCTCTTGCTGAAGACTCGCCTGGGACGGCCTAAGTTCATTCCGTTCCTCCAGGGTCCTCAGTCTAGCAGTGAGCTTCCTTTTCTTTTCTATAATGTTCCCGAACACCTCCTTATTCCACTTAATGAGATCTGTGGTCAGGTCCGCGATCGCTCCACAGAACCCCATGTTGGTGGGCCAGCTATCCTGCAAAACCCGAGGAAAACCTCGTGCAAAAGCCACGGGGCAAGGAAACGGAAGGGCTTACTGGAGCGTCCGTTAGATGGCTGCCTCTCGGAGCTCGTAAAGATCGGGCGATGATCGGACTTCAGCTTGGGCAGGTGATACGTGTGGGTGTCGGGGAATTTATGGAGCCACTGGGTGTTGCAGAGGGCCCAGTCAATGCGCTCTCTAAGATTACCCCTCTGCCACGTGAATCTCGGCCCCGAGAAAGAGATGTCCATCAAACCACAATCGTCCACGCAGCTTCTGAACTCACGGCTACGTGCCATGACAAATGGCGCCCCGCCCTGCTTGTCATTGGGGCCTAGCATGGCGTTGAAATCTCCCGTGAGCAGCCACGGTACAGCCATGTTCATCGCCAAGCCCCTGAGGTCCTCCCAAAGTGCGCGACGCGTGCTCTGGGTAGGGCTTCTGTAGACTGCAGTGATGCACCCCTCCTCTCCACTACTAAATTTTATCCGCATGTGAAGCATTTGGTTCGTCCGAGTGATTTCCTCTAGCTCGACCTCACCAGCCTTCCACAACACCCAAATCCCACCCGAGAAGCCATTGGCCTCCACACAAGCTTTTCCGTCAAAGCCCATCCTCCGCTGAATCTTGGCAGCCGCGCTGCCACTGATCTTCGGATCTGAGATCACCACGATATTCGGCCTATGGTTCCTGCAAAATTCCTTGAAAGTAGTAAGAAAGTCGGGGTCGGCAGTCCCCGACAATTCCAAGCAAAAATCTTAATCATAATAAAAAGAAAGAAAACAACACACCAAGCTCTAGAACAAGCTAAAACACGTAAAAACAAAAAGAGGCACAGGGCGAGGAACTCCCTGGGAACCAGCCAAGGCAAGAGGTCACGTGCATGCATGCACACCCGGGGGGGGGGGGGACGTGATCTGCATGGCCATCTCTACCCCTTCGCCCATTGCTACCTCAGAGCTGCTGAGAGCGGCCTTATCCGCGACCATGCTTGATGCCCGCGAGTCACTAGGAGGGTTGAGCCCCACTGCATCAGGAACGTCATTAAGATCAAGACTCCTTGCTGCTCCCTTACGTTCATCGGGCTGCTTAGCCCTACTAGACTGGGGAGGTGTCGAAGGAAGAGGTTTCCGAGGTCCCCTTTTCTTCTGTTGAGTCTTATCCTGCTTCTTGGTCCCTTTCTTGTCTGTATCCTTAGCTTTGCTCATGAACTGGCCTTTACTAGCTCCCGAACTCTTACCACTCTTGATAGCATGATAGATCGATAATTATACATGTTTACACCCCTATTTTGAAGCCGTTTGTGATGAGGAATCTCGTGTTTTAAGCCGATTTCACGCTAGGTTGTGTGTTTATGTCATATTTCAGGTCCTGGCGTTGGAATCGAGGCGAAGGAACGAGTTCCGGGTCGAAAGGAGCGAAGATGGGATAAAGGATGCTGCTGGACCAAAATACCCGGTCTCAGGAAGAAATACCCGGCCGGGTATATTATGGACCCGACCGGGTATTTTTCCCTTCGGGCACCCGTGAGAAACAGAAGGGGGCCCGGGCGATGGCCTTAAATCCCCGGTCGGGGATTTTTCCCCTTATTGGAACGGTTCGTTTTAACAATACCCGGTCGAACCCAAAAATACCCGACCGGGTATTTCGACCGGGTATCGCGGGGTCAGCTGATAAAAGAGGAAGAAGGCCAATTTTCAAAGGGTTCCGAGTTTTTGAGAGAGAAATCGATTCCTAGAGAGAGAAAGCGACGAACCAGAGTTCCCAAGCGCCATAGATCGATCTTCAACACCATTGGAGCCCGGTTTGAGCTTGGAGAAGTGCAATTAAACGTCCAGGAGCAGGAATCCAACTTCACAGTATGATTTCCGCGTCTGAATCTGCTTTTGCTTCTTTCTCTATGGAGTAGTTTCCCCATTCATCTGGGTATGGGGAACCCTAGATTTGTATGCTAGGTCTGATTGTATGAACCCAAGTACAGAGTTTGTGAATTGATTATATTCGATTGAGGTTTGAATGATTGAATGACTTGAATCCTGATCAAATTCCTGTTGTTTCTGCTTTGACCTGGAATGAGAATATCTGCCTAGGTTGATAGAGTACCCTTAATCGAAGGTGGCGAATTGGTGACTTTAGTCGAGGAGCCAATTCGCTATTCTGTACCGAAGTTAATTCGGTAGTGGAGGTTTGGTTCATTAGGGCCTCAATCTGTTTACTCCGGTGGAGGTTAGTCGCCCGCTAGAGACTCAGATTGAGAGGGTCTGGAGACCTTTAGTCGAGACTTCCGGCTAATTGAGAACCTTCCGCAATATAACTTTCATGAAAACTGAACTTGGTAATTACAATCCGACCTAACTGCAGTCTAGGGGGATCCATATCTGGGTGACCTCTCTTGACTTGATAACAAACCGTTTACTTGCTTTGTGTTTTGTTTTCTTGAGTTCCACTAAAAGTTCACCGCTAAATAACAAAAATTCACCGAGTAGTCATCGCATCTAGGACCCGGGTTGA